TTTCAATTAGAAATCAGTCCCATGTTATTTATTAAATTTGCCATGAATTAATCACCAGCAAACTGCAAATTAATTCATCCACCAATTACCAGATTTAGAACAATGTGTATCTTTAGGCAATTGCCTCGAAGGCACGAGAAAGGTAACGGTGTTCGTAATGATGTTCTATTCTTCCTTGTAAAGATCTTGCACTTGTGTTCAATGAAATGTTTTACATGGACAGAAACCCTTTTTAGTTTATGATATAAAACTTTTCTAAATAGACTTTCCTAATTTTGTAAGTGTTAGATGCATTATACTTACTAATAATTATCTTAGTTTAAAAAAATTATCAAATATATACATGCGGATCCGAAATTTTTGCACCACATTTAATTGTCCTCTTTGTTTTTTTCATGTAATTTTCTACGTAAAAATGAGGTCTATTTTCGGATGAAAAATTGTGCAATGGAAAGATAACTTTGGGTTTAAAAAATAAGTTTAAGGATCGAGAAAATTTCAGGAACTAAAATATAAACAATCCAACAAGCTGAGGACCAAGCATTAAATCATAGGTAATGATACACAATGACAATTCTTTGGTATAATTTTTTATATAATTTTCACATGTTATTTAATGAGTAAATACATATAATATTATGAATCTCATTGAATGAAAAGAGTCCATTATTAAATGATAAGTAAAATTATATAAAAAATTATTAAAAAAATGTATCTTTTATCAATGCTTTTTCTATGTGCATTGGTCTAAATATACGTATTTGGTTAAGTAAAAAACAAATCATACACTAGTGGACTTGGTAAAGAAGTGTAGCTATTTTGTAAAAATAGAAGTGCTTATTTTTCACATACAAATAATCAAATCTTAGTCTTAAAAAAATAATAAAAAAGTGAGAGGAAAACAAATATTATTTAAGTTAATTAAAGGTACTACATCTTTTTTATGTGATATGTGTCAATTGGTTAAAAACTTTATTGGGGGAGAGGAGTAAGGAGAGAGAATGCGATTCAAACCTTAACCATTGTTAGAAAACCGAAAAGAAGAATAATTTGAAGAAAGGTTTATTGCTTTCTTGAATTATATTGTATGTACAATGACCTATATATAGGTGTTTACAAAGAGAATATTCTAAGGTATAAAGTATATAAAGAGAATATTCTAAAGTATAAAATATTTACAATAATTCTAAATATAATTGTGTTCACATCTTAACATCCCCCCTCAAACTCAAGGTGGTTGTGATGAAACCAACTTGAGTTTGGAAAGAAGAGTAC